CAAAAAAAAAGAACCTTGTTAATTTCAGCTCACTTACTGTATATTGCACACAGATCACTTGGATAGTTTTTTTAGATTAAAAAGATGTGAACTGCTCAAACCAAACCCAATGAATGAATGTGTAAACTATCATGTCAAACTGGCTCAATAAAGCAGCTGTAGGAATGTTTTTGTACTATAGGCCTTTTATGAGAATAAAGTCATAATGTTTTGAGATTAAAATCACAAGGCAAGTTAAAAAAACATGTATTAAATAAATTCAATGCACACAGACTGAAGTAGTTTAAGTCTTTGGTTCTTTTAATTGTGTAAAAGAACCAAAGACTTAAACTACTTCAGTCTGTGTGCATTGAATTTATTTAATACACGAGTTTCACAATTTGAGTTGAATTACTGAAATAAATGAACTTTTCCACGACATTCTAATTTATTGAGCTGCACCTGTATATATTGAAGAAAAAGTAAATATTACCTTTTACTATATTTCAAAATATCACATTTAGCTACCTTTGGACGATTCAGATAGCCGAGTTAATGTATTTTCTTTCTGTGCAGTACTCTTGTTTATTTATATTGTATGTTTAAGTAATTTTATGTTAAAAATATGTGCAGTTTCTGTGTGAATGATCGCTGGCAGAATTGGCTGTGATCGCTGTGCAACTATTGCTGCTATTTCAGTGAGAACGAATGTGTCCATCAAAATGTTTATCTGAAGCTGATTATTTTTCTGTAGCCTATAAATCATTATGAGAGAAGACTTCACTTCCCAGAACTAATTATTTTGACATATTTCTTGTTCATCATGTTAATGTAATCTAATGTTTGTCTAAGTATTGATCTAATTATAGGTATGTAATTAAATTGAAAGATTGGAGTTACTCACCAGTGACAGAAAGAAGGAATCGCTGTGAGCTCTCATGGCCTCTGATCTGTACTTCATAAAGTCCAGCGTGTTCAGTTCTGGTGTTTGTGATGGTCAGAGATCCGGTCTGATTCAGCTGCAGTCGATCTTTGAATCTCTCATCAGCATCATTTAATGAGGTCTCTTTAGTCTCTACATCGAGTTTAGCCAGGAGGATGCCTTTATCTCCAAACCTCCACACTATCAGATCATCTGTGTGTATTTCAGCATCAGTGTGACAGAAGAAGTGACAGAATCTCCCTCCAGCACTGATACTGACTTCATCCGTCTCACCAACTGCACCTGGAAAACAAATCACTCTTAAGTGATGTTTTACATACAGTACAAGACATGTAAGTTGCACTAATTTAACGGCAAAGAAAAATATTTCAAATGCATTTGTGATATCTCCTGTGGTGTATTATAAACAGTACAGTGCTAATCCAAACAAGATCATTATTACATTGAAAGACTTGATACTCACCAATGACAGTAACACGAAATATC